TGAGTGAGTGAGCGAGTGAATGAATGAAAGAGTGAGTGAGTGAGTGAGTCAATGAATGAGTGAATGAATGAATGAGTGAGTCAATGAATGAGTGAGTGAGTGAGTGAATGAGTGAGTGAGTGAGTGAGTGAGAATGAATGAATGATTGAGTGAGTCAATGAATGAGTGAGTGAGTGAATGAATGAATGAATGAGTGAATGAGTGAAGGGGTGAGTGAATGAATGAGTGAATGAATGAGTGAGTGAAAGAGTGAGTGAATGAGTGAGTGAATGAGTGAGTGAATGAGTGAAGGACTGAGTGAATGAGTGAGTGAATGAGTGAAGGACTGAGTGAAAGAGTGAGTGAATGAATGAGTGAATGAAAGTGTGAATGAAAGAGTGAGTGAAAGAGTGAGTGAATGAATGAGTGAATGAAAGAGTGAGTGGAAGAGTGAGTGAAAGAGTGAATGAATGAGTGAGTGAATGAATGAATGAATGAATGAGTGAAAGAGTGAATGAGTGAAAGAGTGAGTGAAAGAGTGAGAGTGAATGAATGAGTGAGTGAGTGAATGAATGAATGAATGAGTGAGTGAGTGAATGAATGAATGAATGAGTGAATGAATGAATGAATGAAAGAGTGAGTGAATGAGTGAGTGAGTGAGTCAATGAATGAGTGAATGAATGAGTGAGTGAGTGAGTGAATGAATGAGTCAATGAGTGAGTGAGTGAGTGAGTGAATGGGCAACAGTGACTCGATTGAAGTGATGATTTGATATGAAGCATCCAAACAAACCAATCAACTAAACTGAATGACCTCCTAAAAAGTCATTCATTTGGTCTCTTAGTCATGTGACTGCATGCATAAAATAATATGACAAAATATGACATTTTGTGATGCTACTTTTTTAGTAAAAATGCTTTGTGGAAAAGCTAGTGTTTTGAACATTAAAATTCAATTAGTAGAGTTGTTTTGAGTTGGTGCAAACTTAATCATTCTTCGTTCTGCTAATTAGCTGATGATAAAGATGTGCGAGTTTGATTACAGTCATTCTGAATGAGACGTTTAACCACATCAAACGATCACTGAATCCCAGATGTACATCAGTGTGTTTCAGGTGTGATTAACACACGTGAATCTACAGCTATGACTGCTGTCAGACGGCAGGATCTGTGTGTCATCAGCAGGCTTTACTGTCAGACTGTACGATATTCATCGGTCTGGACTGACAGTATTGAGCGTTCTGACATCTCACTGACACGAGGAGCTGAAGTCATACGGCACAAACCCCAGAAAGCCCTTGTGTTAATGCTGCCGATGGCTGTCCTGGAGAAAAAACATAATAAGAAAGAACTTGGAGTGACTTGAATTTGCAGATCACTCATTCTAGAGTCTATAAAATCCAGCGCTGCGTTTCCCAAAAGCATCGTAAGCCTAAGTAGATCGTAGAAACCACAGATAACTATGATCTCTATGATTTATTGAGGCTTACAATGCCCAGGTCATTTTGATAGTATGTTCCTGAATTGTTAACTAAAACAGAAACTAAATCGATCAAAAAATCGTTACATTAAATAAAGCTGAAATAAAATAAAAAATTGATGGAACACAAATAAATTCAAGTACTAAAGTTACTAAAACTGAAATAAACTCTGAAATTAAAAAAAACTAAATATTTCTAAATCTAAATCTATTAAAAATAATTTTCATTGATTAAAATTAAACTGAATAAAACAAATAGATGAAAAACTTAAAAACGTAGAAAATGATAGATGTTGCATTAGCAACCATCTGAAATAAAATAAGTTCACATACTAAAATGACTAAAACTGAAATAAAGAATAGATTTTTTAATAGAATAGAAATAAAAAAGAATAGAAATAAAAGTATTTTTAATTCAAATAAATTGTTATTTCATTCAACATAAACATCAAAAACTAATCTATTAAAAAATTTTGTTTTCATTAATTTAAATCAAGCTGAAATAAAATATAAATATCAGATGAAAAATGTAAAATTTAAATAAATTAAAAATGTTGCATTTGCAACAAACAACAAAAGTTCAAGTGCTAAAATAACTAAAACGGAACTAAAATAAATGAAAGCAAAATAGAAATATTTCAGAAATACAAAAAAAGTCAAATATAAAACAAAATTAATAAAAAAATGACAAGGGCACATAAAATTACTAAAATTACAACAATTAAAATGTATTAACATTTTTATTAAAATAAAAATAAAAGCTAATCCACACTATTAAAAAAATACTATATTATATAAACAATACTTTAAATAACACTGGCATCTTCAGAATGTGAGAGAAAGGCACTTGAATAACCAGATATGTTAAATATCATATAGGCAGTTTTGACATGAATTAGTTCTCTCTCTCTCTCTCACACACACACACACACACACACACACACACACACAGCTTTGCTCCCATTGGTTCATTATACAGTCATTGCAAAGACAGTTACAGTTTTTTACGATTGCTTACACACTAAAATTAAACTTTCAATTTCTTTCAAAACAAGTAGTATATAATCTAATCTAGACTGACTGTATAATACTGATCTATTTGTAAAGCGTTGATCGGTGCAGATATTGATGTAGGTCCGTGTTTTTTCCTCCCACACAGTGTTTCTCTGTCTTTAGCAGCGCTGAAGAGCCCGAGGCTGCCGCTGCTGCCGCTTCACTTTATACATTTCTCTTTCAGTCTGGTTCTTTCTCTCTGTCCAGTAGATTTGAGCAGGGTCAGATGGATGATGGCTCCGGGCTCCGGGGTCAGAGGGTTTATTGATTCACAGCGCTGCCGCAGGGGAAGCTAACAGCCGCGGGTGAGGATGACACCCGTCAGCTCAGTCAAAATGGATGTGCTGATCGCAGGTCAAATACACACTGTAAAAAAGAAAGAAAAAAAGAAATAATACAAAAAATATATATATAGGATCGTGCAGAACCTGTTCAAGCACGGCTTTTAATGGTAGGCCTATGTTTTTTGTTTGTTGTTGTCCCATACTTTTAGATACGCTGTTATTTGTAAATGCTACTGCTTCTGTTAGCTTTTAAAATACGGTTTTATCCCGATTAAAGCTTTAATACAGTTCAGCAACCACACGCACGTCCATGTATAACGCTTCTCATAGCTATAGTATGTGAAAATAAGTGTATTCTCTTTGAATTAATTTTATTATTCTGACAGGCAGATATTTGTTCTTGTTTTAAGCACAAAAATCTTTAGTTTAGTAAAAAATAGTTTTCAGAAAACTAGACTTAATATCTCAGGTAATTTTGCTTCTCAAGTAATTTAAGAATTGTTAGATATTTTAGACAAAAAATATTAAGAGAAACATTTTTTTGCATCTAAAACATCTAAAATTCATCTGATGAAAAATCCCCAACTAAGTGCTGTTACTCATTTTGGAAATAGATTATCCAACCATAATAATTCAATGAAGGTTCTCAGCTGCACAAACAGCCTGTTTAATTATGAAGGGTCAGAGAAAGGTTGAAAAATTATCATAAAAACGAAATTATGACTATCTGTGGTGTAAGAAACCTTGACCAGCATGACATAAAATGATACAAATCTTGGCTATGGGCAGCGGTGCACATGAGAGCACTTGCAGATTTGGTTTGGTGCTCACACTGCACATAGTACGACCGATTAAATATAACTTTAAAAAAATTAAATTAATAATTAATAATAGTAATAATAGTATTATTGCTCTTTATTTAGTTAGTTTATTTTTTAAACAAAATAAATAAAGTGTGATAATACTATTATATTTAAAAATTTAAAATAAGCATGAATAAAAATACAATTATTTTATAGTAGACTTAAAAAATACAATGCTAACATTTACATGTTCTATTTATTTATTTGTTTATTTATTTATTTTTCAAATTAAATAAAATTAAAATTAAATAAAAAACAAATAAATATAAAATAAAATAAAATAAAATAAAATAAAATAAAATAAAATAAAATAAAATATAAAATAAAATAAAATAAAAAAGACGATTCCAAGCAAGTGACGAGGGAGAGGAGGCCCAGAACATGATTTTTAATCGTGGTTATCATTCTAATATGCTGCTCAAGAAACATTTCTGATTATTATCAATGTTAAAAACAGTTGTGCTGCCCAATATTTTTGTGGACCCTACCATTATACATTTTGGGGTATCATTTAAAAGAAATTAATTAATGAATTAACTACATTTTGAAATATGTTTAAACAGAAAACCATTATTTTAAATTGTAATATTTCACTGTTTTTACTGTATTTTTTAATCATATAAATGCAGCCCTGGTGAGCAGAAGAGACTTCATTCATTTACATTACAAAATCTTAATTATTCCAAACCTTGATATGAAATGTATTTTTTGTATGTATTTATTTATTCCTTTAGTCTTTTCCATATTTATGTATTTCTTCATCCCAATATGGCAATGAGGGGGTGTGACTATTCTGGTAGCCTTTAAAGGGGACATCAGATGAAATTTTCACTTTTTGTTAGCTTTTTTTACATTTAGTTAGGTTTCTGGCGTGTCTGCCAGCTCGGAAGAGCAGAAAAGAAAACACGCAGCCAGTTTGTTATGGGCTGTCTGAGAAACTGCGTCATCCAGCGAGCAGTTTCAGTTTGCTGCCATTATCTACATAGATAGCAAGCTATTTGAATAAGACCACCTCTGAACCGTATACGGATATATTCTCGTGGTTTGTCTCGACACAGACACACTCACACTCACACTCACACTCACACACACACACACTATATGAAAAACAAAATACAAAAGTATCTAGACAGCAAGAAAGCGTCATATTTGGGGGTCCGTGTCTCAAAAAAGATTGAAAAACTCATAGTTTAGGCCACAAAATGCACACATGATACACAAACTGAAACTAAAAACCTTGTTCCAACCTGAATGACAGTATGCAGAGATCAGCCAATCACAACACAGCTCATTTACATACAGAAGCATTAGTTACAGGTGCAAAAGCAGCTCTGAAATCTAAATGATCAACACTGTAAGCGGACTTCAGACTGCTCTGACTCTAAAGCAGTATGTGGCCTTTTGCTGCTTGTTACCTTGGTTAAAACAAAGCCAATCGGTCTTATTTTCAATAATGTGTGTTTTATAATCAGGCACATTCATTGTGTCGGGCTGATGGAGTCGCTGTTAAAGTCTCGTCTATGTTCAGCCTAATGAAGCTGTCAGCGCTGATCTATTAGCAGGCTTGTGTGCTATAGATTAACAGAAGAGAAGGGATTTGTTTAGGCTTCAGAATAAAAGCAGTAAGTAATTATCTGATGTGTCACGGCTGGCCGTTCACAGCCTGTGTAAATAACGCCTTTCATCCACAGGACTGAGGGGTTTTGGGGTGGATTTTAACATGCAAAGTGATGTTTAGTCACTCGCCGACATTCGTCGCATCCTAATTTTTGTGATTTTATAATTAGCCTGATGCTACAACGAGACCATAAACTCATTACTGAAAGCCTGTGACTTTAATGAGCACAAATGTCTTGCATGCTCAATTCAAGCCTCATAACGCAGAGCCAAAGTGTCAGCACTTCACATTAGTCCTGTATGTAAAGACACACCAGCCCACATGCAACATGCAAAAATGATTCAAATCATATACTATTTTTTTTCTTTTCAGGTCACTTTTTCAAAACTATTCACAAAGCGAGCACAACATCAGTCAGACATATAGAATATATATACAGTAATACATAGAAAAATACTCTGAATGTAAAAAAAAATCAAATACTATCGCAGCAGTTGCATGTAGCTGAACATCTTCACAAGTGTTCGTCTTTCACTTTCATTACCATCTATACAAAAGGGGAAAACTTAGGAATAATTTTGTACTGTAATGTAAACATGGAGCATGTAACATATACTGCAGGGAATTATAAACAGTAGAGAGTATCATTCTTGTTTTGCAAAGAAATTTCACAAAAGAAAACATTGCATAATGCTACCTGTCAGTGTTTTTTAGGCTGTTGTGTTATGAGTGATAGTGTGTTTGTTTGGTGAAAACCTTATGGAAGAATGACTTGATTTGAGACATTAGTGAAATGTTTTGGTAGTTTTAGTGCATTTTGGATGTGAAATGTACTGCTGTGTCAAGTTGAAAGATGGTTAGAACTGTGTGAAGAATTTTGAAAAAGTGACTTTAGCATTGAGAAATGTGTCTGAGCGATTGTAAAAAACTCAGAATTAGCCTTTATTTTTATATTTTTATTTTAAGTTTTAGTAATTTAGTTGTGTGTGTTGTCATTTTTATTAGATTTTTAAAAGATATT